ATAACTGTCTCCCAGAAAAGCACCTCCAAGCCTTGGTGCTTGGAGAGTGACCCCAACTGCAGAGCGAGAAAGGAGGTACAGGGGGAGGAAGGCTTACATACCTTCCAGTCTTGGCTGGAGAAGAACTTGAGGTTAGGCAGTTTCCCCATACAGGCCACCAAAATGAGGGGTTTAGGGGTGCTGGGACCCCAAAATCACAACACACTTGTCCTGCCCAAAATAATTCAATCCAAGCCTTCTTTCAGCCAAAGACAAGATTTATTAGAACATCTGTCATATTGGGCTGACTCTTAAGGGGTCTGAATGTTAGTAAGCTATTGGCTAGATTATAAGAATCTAAGCCCTTTGAAGGTTTTTTGGTAGATGTTTTCACACTGTTGTCTTCTAAGTTTGTGTCTTGGTCTTCCCTGCCATTGTAGTAGCTTTTTATGGTTAATTTTTTTCTTGTTGTTTGCTCATTTTTCCAGCCTATTTCTTAATTTTGACCTTTATGTTAAAGTTGGGTTCTGCTCACCTGGGGTTGGTCAGGTACTGTCCCAAGCTTTAGGTCTTTTTGTGTTACTGTTTTCAAAGCTAGTTCTGGAGTTTAAAAGTTTTAGATGTTTCCATGGTGGTTTGATCCAGGGAGAGATGTGGTCTCCTGTTCTCCTGGTCTATGCTCTGGTCTTTACCCAGAAAGGTCCCCTGATCTCCTATAGCTACAAGTGCTAATATTCCTCTCTGCCTTTGAACTGTGACAAGGCCCCCTGCTCCCTTGTGCTGCCAAACTTAAGCCATGCCTCATAAATGCTTATGGTCAATAAAGTTGCCAATCAGTGTCAGCTGCCGGCAAAGTGTCCCCTATTATCATTTTTGGTTTTTGTTTTTTTTGATTGGGGAATGGGGGTTAAGTGACTTGCCCAGGGTCACACAGCTAGTAAGTGTTACATGTCTGAGACTAGATTTGAACTGAGGTCCTCCTGAATCTATGGCCGGTGCTCTATCTGCTGTACCACCTAGCTGCCCCTCCTATTATAATTTTTTCAAGAAGCATATTTTTTCTGAACCCCCTTACCATCTCTGGGCTGAGAGCTCCTAAAGCTGCTGCTACAACTGCCTTAGCTACCTCTAAGGCCTGCCTCTTGTGCTGCTACCACATGTTCTTTGGGCCAGCCCACATCCTGGTGTCACAGATCTCTCTTGCTGACCTTTTAAGTTGTCTAAGGTGAGAAAAACATCTCACCGTGATCTTTTCTTGGCTCTGCCACTCCAAAACTCAATTTGAGGCATTATTTTAAAGTGTTTTGAACACAAGCATTGAGAGAGACTGATGGGGTTCCTGCCTCTAATCTACCATTTAGGATCTAATGTGGGAATTCTTTTCAAGTGAAGAAGCTGTAGCTATCTATAGCCACATGAGAAAAGAAAAAAAAGTTCCAAATCAGTATAAATTAGAGAAATGCAAATTAAAGCAATTCAAAAGATTCTACCTCATTCTCATAAGATTGGTAAAGATGACAAAAAAAAAGGAAAATGAAAATTTTAAAAGAGCTATGGGAAAATAAGCATATTTATATATTGTTAGTAAATCTATGAATTGGTACAACCATTCTGGAAAGCAATTAGATTTAAAATACAAAAAAGTTACTAAATAGTGCATCTTCTATCACCCAGCTATACCATGATTAGGTCTGTTTTCAAAAGAGAAAGAAGTAGTAAAAGGTTCTATTATATAAAAAAAATTCATGGCAACTTTGTGGTAATAGGAAAAAAAATGGGAAACTAAGAGGTGCCCATCAATTGAAAAATATCTGAGTAAATTGTGGTATATGAATGTGATTAAATAGTTACTGTGCCATAAGAAATGAGAAAATTGATGATTCCAAAGAACCATGAAAGGACTTATATGAACTGATGCAGATTTAAGAAAGCAGTACAAGAAACAGCATTTTGTATCAATATAATAAAAATTAACAATTTCAAAGATTTCAATAAACTGATAAAGAAAGAATGAAATGAGAATTAGAACAATTTATATAAATCAACAAGAGTGTAAAAATAACTTTGAAAGCTGTAAGAACTATGATCAATGGCATGATCATCCATAATTCTAGAGCAGTGATAGTGAAGCATGCCACTTACTTCCTGAGAGGTGATAGATTTCATCTGGGTAAAAGAAATCTATTTGTGTATAAAGTCAGTGAGAGAATTTTTTTTTTTGTTTTACTATGCATATTAGTTACAAGGGATTTGTTTATTTCTTTTCTGTTTTTTTCCTCCCTCCAGTACAGTGGAAGGAACTCTGACATGCCAAAAGAGATTTTTCTTCTTTAAAAAACAATAAAATACAGAGTTTTGGGGAGGAACGCTACAAGCATGGAATATTACATGCACTTTCATATAAGGTCATTGTATACTGTGAGTTTTACTTAATTGTTTATCTTTGTAAACAAGTAAAACTAATATTACAAGAAACTTCTCACAGAGTGGGGATAATCTGTAAATATGCATAAAAACAAAATATGGCAACAAAAAAATTTAAAGAGAGTTTAAGAGAAGACAAGAGAGGAAATGAGAGATTAAGCAAATGGATTCAGTTTTTTTATTTTTTTGGTGAAGTAAGAGATAAGTTTTTCAGCTGAGAGGGTGAGGAAGAGTACTCCCTGAAAACCTGAAAGAGGAGGAATGAAAATTTTTGGAAGAATTAGTGTGGTGAGTGGCATAGTGAATTAATTACGGAGGTGCAAAACGATTACCTTGCTGAGGTGAGGACCCAGCTGAGAAAGTGATATACTTTGCATTTTCTTATTTGCATAGGGGTTGAATCCCTATAACCTTCTCCAGTTAAAAAGTAAGCTTTTCAAAGTCAAGGAATGTTATTATTATTTTTTTTAATCTTTCTATCCCTAGTGTCTGGTTGACCAGCACTGAGGGAACAAGGTCCTTACCTAATGCCTATACAGTGAAATCATATGACCAATCTCTATCCCAATCCCTAGAATCTATTGAAGTGTTGTGCACATAGTAGTATTTTTTAAATGTTGGATTTAAATAAAAGCCAGAGCTTTACTCTGTCTCTTGACTCCATGTTTCCCACTGTATCAGACTGACTTCCATTGATCCTAAACTAAAATACATAGAATCCCCCTCTCTTCGTATGGTATCTAAAATAGAAAAAGCAACTGGACACTTGCTGATTTCTAGGGCTAATGTTTGCTACTGTTTATTTGGGGAAGCTAAGTGGAAAGAGTACCAGGCCTGGAGTCAGTAAGACTTATAACCCTCTTTCCCTTAGTTTCCTCTTCTAGAACATGAGCTGGGAAAGGAAATGGTAATCCCCTTCATCATCTCTGCCAAGAAAACCCCACGTGGGTCATAGAGTCAGACATGACTGAAAACAACTGAACAGCAACAACAACAAAATGTTTATTTAGTTGTTTCTCTGAAGCAAAAGTTTTCAGGCAAATCTTTCAAAATATCACTGCCACTGTTACTTACCTAGAAAATGGGAAGACTTGCACTGACCCTTTCTCTATGAGGAATAAAACATTCATAGAATTAATGTTATCTGATGAAACTTATCAAAGGAAAAGTGTAACTATTGTTTTCATTCATATGCATGGCCAGGATCACTACATTGAAGTATATTGAAGTCTAAATATGCATAGACAAAGATGAAGGGCAAACTATCTAAATTGCTCTAGATGAAGTATCTGCTTCAACTTGTAAAAGCTGTAAACTTGTAAAATGCTTCCATTCTCTTCCCTTCCTGACTATAATAGAACTGCTAGCTGAAGATAGTCCTGTGCTCCCCAATATCCTTCACCTGTGTACCTCCTCCACATTAAACCTCCTTTGTCCTAACCTTGAATCAAAGAAGAATCTAATTTTTTTCTACTTAAACATGTTTCCCTTATTTCTGAATTTTATTTTTCAATGAAATTAAAGCAGCCAGTGCCCCATTTTGAAGCTTAAATCTGCATTTCATTGCAGCATTGAGGTGACAGCTTGTCACCTGGCATCATCTTCACAGGGAAACTGGTTTAAATAAGACAACTCAAGAAGCTGCATGAGATAACTGCTGAAAGGGTGCTGGTCAGAATTCTAGGCAATTTCCTTTGGTGGTATGCTGCATGTCAGTCACTTTATAGAAAGCAGGATTAGGAAACGGGAAATAGAAGCAGAGCAAATAAAAAAAGAATGAGAAAATGAATGTCTAGAGGTTGGAAAAACTGAGAAGACTGACTTGAAAATGAGAGTCCACTTTAAAATAATGAAAAAAATAACTTGATGATTAGAGGAAAGAGAGAAAGAAATAGAAAAATTTAGGTTAAATAGAAAAAAATTAAAGATAATATAAAATGTAACAGGGAAAATAGAAAATGTTTGAAGTGAGATATGGGTAATTAGTATGCACTCCATTTTCTCTGCTTTATTGGCAGCTGAAAAATATTAACTATTTTTTTATTGATCCACAGGGAATAATCAACCCAAGAAATAGCAAAACATGCAAAAAAGACTTAGCTGAATTCAAATGATCATGATTTCATCAGACTTCAGTATTATGGGCTGTCAGAAGCATTGTTATAGAAGGGTCAATAGACAAGAATTCTAGGAAACTGGTTTCTAGTTCATCTTTGCCGACAACTACCTTATGACCTTAGAAAAACAAAACAAAAAACAAAAGACAAAGCAATCTTCATCTTTCTGAGCCTCAGTTTCTCAACTGTAAAATGAGAAGGTTGGACTAAGTGATCACTGAGGACCTTTCCCAGACTTCTTGATTACTAGAAGCATTGTATATTCATCATATAATGAAGTCGAATATATGTTTACATTGCATTTTTGATGTATATGTAAAAGAAAACTGAAATGCTTGGCTAAAATTATGTATGCAAGTATATTTGATTGAAGGTTAAATGCTTGGCTAAATCATGTATATAAGTATATTTGATTGAAGGTTGTAGACTTATAAACTATTAAATTTTTTATTGACAAAATATATATAAAATATGTTTCAGAAATGATCACCAAGACGAAGAAAGGGCGCGTGCTTGTGGTTGCAATCTTCTTACTGCTGAGCCATGCTCCTTGGCCTCTGGATGCTAACTCTGAAGACGAGGAAGAACAAGGAGACGTTTTAGGTAAAATTTTGCCTATTTTAAGTTATTTAATTTTTTTTCTTATCAAGTTCTAACCAAATATTTACTTTTATTTAGTGCCTTCCAATCCACTGCAGTAGCAATCATATTCTAGTTAATTTTACTCATATACAAGGTATAAAGAAAATGACTTTGTCCCAATGATCTACTGCAATGAAGAAATTTCCTTTATGGGATTTACCAATAAGCCAGGAGCAATCCAGGGGAATTCAAATAAAGATTGCTTTAGTCTGAGTCTGTGGAAATCTAACAGCCCTGTATTGGTCCTGTCATGACCTTCCATTAGGGCAGCTAGGTAGTGCAGTAGATAAGAGGACCTGGAGTCAGGAAGATGAGTCTTCCTGAGTTCAAATCTGACCTCAGACACTTACCAGCTGTGTGACCTGAGCAAATCACTTAACCTTGTTTGCTTCGGTTCATCATCTATAAAATGAGCTGGAGAAGGGAATGGCAAACTACTCTAGTATCATTGCCAAGAAAACCCCAAATACGGTTATAAAAGTTGGACACAGCTGAATGACTGAACATAGTACGGACAATAGAATGTGATAGTCTTAATAAGAGACAACATAGTAGAGTATTGGGCTTGGAGACTAGATGACTTCAGTAAGGTTCACATCCTATCTAGTCCTACAATCCTGAGCAAATCATGGGATCTCTAAGTACTTCTGAGTAATTTAATCTCTATGTGCCTCAGGGAATTTTCTAGGACATATCTACTAATTAGTTATCTATAGAACCCTAGTGATAAGTCATTGATATTTACATGACTCTCCTCACTGGGGAAGAGAATGATTATCTGGACCTCTATGCCTGGACTGGGTTATCCAGAGCTTGTGAAGCAGAGTTTCTCTTTTTTCTTCTGGGTTCTGACTTCCTTTGCTTCTTCCAAGAGTCTTTCTCTTCTTTTAGGGCCCTTTCTCTGAGAAGAGCTTGTTACTACCTCATGTGCCCTGTCTTGCAGCAGAAGTCAGAAGCAAATCAGAAGCTTTCTTCTCCCAAACTCTCCTTTAGGTAGGCCCAAAGTTGAGAACTAATTCTTTCCACTAATGAGGAGAATTATTCAAATTCCATAGTTTGCACCCAGAGTTAAGTATATGCATACAGAAGGCAAGGGAGAAGTAGAGATAGTAATGATGAGAAGGAAATGTGACAGGCTTTGTGCAAAGAGCAGGGAATTTTGAGCGAAAGGACCTAATTTCAAATCTCAGTCTTTCATTCTGCTGTGTGACTTTGGAGCAAGTCACTAAAGCTTCAGATTCCCCTCAGTAATATGAAAGAATTTCCCTAAATGATCTCTAATGTTCTAACTCTAGATTCTATATTGATCAAAGAGTATGTTTTAACTTTAGGATATAAATTAGTCAGCAAGACACTGTGCTAGACACTAGGAATATGAAGAAAAATGAAACAACCATAGACAAGGAGTGGTGACTGACAAAAGATAAAGGCTGATAAGGTTAACCAAGTGTACCTGTATTTATTTCTATTTTAAAAAAGAAATTTGTACCAAACATATTCTCTATCACCTTACTTTAAGCCACTTTACTACTTTTTTATAAATAGATTTTTCGGGGGGGGCAATAAAAAGGAGTAGAAACCTCAGGGTTAATCTGTTGAGTATAGTTAAACTTGTCCATGGTTTATAATCCTCTGGTAAAACCACATGCTTGTGGTACTATACTACCACCTCGTGGCTATACACCAAAATAGCAGGTCCAAATAACAATATTAATGTGGCAAAAATTAATTTGGATGTCACAAACCTTATAAAAAGAAAAAAAAAGGAAATCAAACAATTACCACTAAATATCACTCAGCATTTTCTTTTGAACTTCTCTAATGAGATTATGTATTATTGTATATTTTAGTAATCTGTATATGTTATCATATTTACTTCCTAAAGTGAAAGTTATATACAGGCAAAAAATGTTTCTTCTACAAATCCATACCTTGACCTCTAGGACCTAGCTCAATGTTTTACACCCAACTTGTTCTAAGGCACTAGCACAATGCCTTGAATAGTATAGGGGCTGGGATCAGCTAGATGGCTCAGTGGATAGAGCAGCTGCCCTGGAGTCAGGAAGACCCGAGTTTAAATCCAGCATTAGACACTTGACACTTACTAGCGGTGTGACCCTGGGCAAGTCACCTAACCCCATTGACTAGCAGGGGCAGGGCGGGGAGAAGTATAGGGGCTTAATAGATATCTTTTTAAATTTTTATTCAAATGCCAAAGATAAAAACCTATTGTTTAACACTGAAAAATACATATATACATAATTGATTTGTAAACATTTTTCTGTTAAAATGTTTGACAAAATTTAGGATAAAAAAGTTACAGTATTAGGTAGCAGAAAAGGGAAAGGAAGGGAGAGTCAGCTGGCATATGGTATAGGAAAAAAAATCTTTATATAATACGTTAGGTTGGTCTTGTTGAATCTACAAAGAACCTTGGGAGCATTTTCGGTTTTTGCTTTGTTTTTGTTTTTGTTTTTTGTAGGCAAAAACCATATAATTCATATATACCTAAGAATATGAGGAACCTTATGAGTTGATATTGCCATGTATATATATATATATAGATAGATAGATTGAGACACTTTTGTAGATATAATTATTTTATTCAAAAATCTTTGTAGTATAAAATTATTAGAAAATAATACATTCAGAGATAGAGTGGACTAGAAAAGTCGTAACGTCTAAACTCTTCATTTCACAAAGAAAGGAACTGAGACCAATAGAGTTTGAAAGACTTGCTTAAGTTTCCACCATATAAGGCAGAGTCCTCTAGTTCTAGGTCTGGAGAAAACATTGCAATATGCTACATTTCCTATCTGAGTCTCAGAAAGGACTATGCTAATAGTCTTCCACAAACACTGATTATGGATACAAATTTCTATTTGCTGGATTTTTGTCTTGGACTTTAAATTGAGTCTTATTATTCTATAATCCTTCTCTTTAAATAGCTGTTAAATCATAAATGGAGTGTGCAAATCTTTGGCCTGTAAAGCTTCCAGGCATGTGTGGATAGGAAGTATTCATTTAAACTGCAGCAAATGAAAGGGGAAAGTAGCTCTGTGTCAATTGCCAGCTGCTTTGCCATATTGACAATATTTATCTAAACAATATAGTTACAAGAACCATCTAAAAGCTCCGGGGCACTTACTTTATTTACTCACTTCAGAAAGATATACAACTTCAAAAAAATAATAATATAAAACCCAAGGAAACTTTAGGAAAATAAGTTTACATTTATTTTGAAGTAACTTTACAGCTAAGAGGACCTTTTTTTTTTTTGCCTATTCCAGAGAATGTTTTAATAGTGACAGGGTCATCCCTCTTGCTAAAATGATTGTATTTTCTATAATTAGTGTCAATGTGTGTTTCCTATACAGGTACACGTGTTCACATGGGTCTATCTATGCATGGTTCAGAGGAAGGCTCGAATAGATATCGCTAGAGTCTCATCCACCTACCCTGTTCCAAGGGAGACTTTGATTCCTATCCACTCCCCTTCTCCCACCAATATTGTTAGTCCAGAGGAAATAAATTTTAGATTCAAGCTACTCTCCTGAATGCTATCCCTTAACATGGAAGGAGTGTCCCACGATAGAGATCCAAAGTATTGACTCCCATTCCATGCCAGTTGCACGAAAACTATCACACATTGTAAATAGCATATGCACCCACTTATCCAAACTGATAACAAAGATAAATCAGAGAAGTTATAAATGTTAAGCTGTACCAGATAATACACAAAATAAATAAGGTTTCCCACTTGACTCAAGATATCTCAACTCTACCAAAACAGTGAGGAAGAGTGTGCCAGATTTCACCCAAGGAGAAATTACCTGAAATCTCTAGCAATGTAAGCTAGGGATGAGGATATGATTGGAGTGCCATATCCTCTACATGTAAGCTTCTTCCTAAAGTCTTTCACTCCCTTCAAGTACCTGCCCTAAAGTGATACTGGAACTATATACTTCCTCTCTGGAAGCTATAAACTAGAAGAAACAAGACTCCTCTTTTTCCAAGCTTATGCCAACTCCACCCTTCACTCAGGCACAGAGCACTGAGTAATTCTCTGTCAATTAGAGTCCTATGCAAATAGTTTTGAGCCTCAGGTTACACTGGAAACAGTGTAGTTATTCAGAAAACAAATATATAATTTTATACCTGAAACAAATGTCTATTTTCTAAAGCTAAAGGAATTATTTATTTTAAAATCAAACTCTTCCAGTTTCATGGTATCCTTTAACAATACAAATTAGTTTCTTTTTTCTGAATTCTCTTGGACTTTACAAGGCATTGAATTGTTTGGTTACTTTTTACTTATTCTTCTAAATATTTGTCCCCAAAATTCAAAATAAGATTGGATAATCACAAAAATAATGAAGAAAGGAAGGAAGATTATTTTAATGATGAGAAAATTTTAAAAAAATCTGAAATTGGATGATGATGAGTAATAGAAAAATTATGCAGAATTAGCTATTGAATAGATATATGGTGCCCAGATATGGGGTGGTCAACTTATAATCAAACATTTCTACCTGTCTTTAACCAATGTTACTGATGCTTATTAAAAATTATTTAAACTTGCATATTGTTTTAAGAGACTCCTACTATCATCAGCTTAGACTGAAACCATACATAAGTAGAAAAACTATTCAGCTTTGACCATAAGTATTCATTGCTTAGCTTCCAGCCATGTTGGAAATGAGTTGTCTAATTTACAGAATCATTTAAATGTCCTTTTGAAAAGAGCACATCAGAGATGATGATAATAATAATTGATACATACACATAATTTTAAAGTTTCAAAATGTTTTACATCTACTATCTCATTTTATACACATGGAAAACCTGGGAGGTGGGTACTATAGGTATTATTATAATTTTACAGGTGAGGAAATAGGTCATAGAAGTTAAGTGATACCCATTGTCACATAGCTGGCAAGTATCAGAGGCAGGTCTTGAATCCAAGATCTGACTCCAAGACCTCTGTGCACTCTTTCACACCTTGCTATTTCTATGATTTTAGTGAAATGTTTTAAATATCTTATGCAACTATCATAAATATTGTGGAAATAATGTAGCTCAGAAGTTATTTTCCCTCCATTTTATGAGAGATTCAATTTGGTAGAATGATGTCACAAAATTTGGAAAAGAATCAGGCAACTAAAGAGAATGCATTGGAATTCTACAGGAAGGAACAGTCTGACCAATTTTTGAAGAATATGAGGAATGCAAACTAATGGTTTATAAAACCCATATTTATGATTATTGTAAGTCAAATTTTCTCCTTGTCTTTCTATTCTCATAATAATGTTTGACATCTAAAATAGAGAAATATCAAATACAGTATAATGGACCATCTGTACTAGGTATCTGTTGTTTTCATGTAAAGGAATGATACTTAATATAATAAAAGTCATACTCACATGTCTAGGGTTCCAAAACAAAGATGGATCAATCATCTTTCCACTGGTAGACCTCTCCAATTCATAAGTAACCCCTACTATCAACTCCTGTTGCTCCAGGGATACCGTATTTTGGCCTTTCCAGACCTTTAAACATTTCAGAACTCACAAGGCATTCTTGGATACATCTGCCATGTGGTATTGACCTGAGCTCATTAAAGAATAAACAAGTACTGCAAAGTCATCCAGAGCCACCAGCCCAAATGACTGAGGGGTTACTATGATCCAAGGTAAAGAAGGACTGACTTTCTCTACCTCTTACTGGCATCATATCATGCTACCTGTGGCCCCATTCAGGAGCTATCTCTCTCCTCTTAAAAAAATTCACTGAGTTATTAATTCTGGTTCAACAGCCAATTAGGAGGGCTCTTCCCTATTTCCCCTGGCTATAAGTAAGCTTCCGAAGCTCCCACATGTATGGCTACCATATATATTGGACTCTATCATCTACAATAAATTCCACATCATTTTTCTATAACTAATTCTGATCAACTTTCAGATATCCTTTGCTATTTTTCATCATTCTTTAAATCTTTATCAGTAGGACACAGTGCTTAAACTTCCCCCCACACTAGTCCTAGCTCTTTTCTTTGAAGAAGTTGAGAATATCTATCAAACATTCAGAGAAATTGAAAGATCACCTCAGGTCAGATCCATATTAAATCACAAATCCTACTCTGTTACTTAAAAAAAGTCTTGTTTAAAAGTAAATTTTGTGTGGGCATTTTAATATTTTTAAACTTCTATTCATAGCCTTTTGTACCCAGTCAAAACAAATGACTATATAATAGAATAAATGGCAACTATGTCTTGTTTGGTATTATTAATGTAATGAGTTTTTATTTTATAGAAAAATGTTGCCCTCCAGAGGGCAATTTGATCTTTCATTTCATAATGTTTCATAATTCTGGTTTCTAGCTAATTCTAAAATATCATTCAACTAATCACATCTTCATCTGTGCAATGATTTTAGGAGAAAGTTGTTGTTATAAATTGGAAGTAAAAGATTGCAATTTTCAGTGACTAGAATTCTTTCCTTCCTGATTGATACAAATATAATACAGGATGATTTTCCTAATACCTTATTAATGAAAATATTTTCAATTATCAGTTCAAATCATCAATTATTTATTAATTCCCCCCACAGCCACTTCTCATGACATGCTTATCTGTTTTAGCGATAATATATCATTGCACAGGATGCTCTCAGAAAAACCTGGAATAACTTAGATGAACTGTTGCAAAGTGAAATGAGCAAAACCAGGAGACCATTTTATGCAGTAATAGTGATATTTTATGATGATCAATTATGAATGATTTAGATATTTTCAGCAACACAATGATCCAAGACAATTCTGAAGGACTTATAATGAAAAATTCTATCCATATCCAGAGAAAGAAATGATGGAGTCTGAATACAGATAAAAGCATTCTTTTCCTTTTTCAAATCTGTTTTCTTTCACAACATGACTAACATGGACATATATTTTGTATGACAGCTCATGTATAACTTATGTCAAATTGCTTGTCTTCTCAATAACAGAGGAAGGGAGAGAGCAAGATTTTAGGACTCAAAAAAAATTTAAATGAATGTTAAAATTGCTTTTACATGTAATTGGGGAAAATAAATATTAAATGTTAATAATATTTTATTTTTTGAATTATATGGAAAGATAATTTTCAACATTCCTTCTTTGAAAGATTTTGAGTTCCATATTTTTCTCCTTCCTTCTGCCCTCCCCAATATGGCAAGCAATCTGATATAGGTTACACACGTACAATCATGTAAAACATATTTCCACATTAGTCATGTTGTGAAAGAAGAAACAGAACAAAAGGAAAAAAAAGACACACAAAAAATGAAAATAGTATGCTTCAATTTGCATTCAGACTCTGTCAGTTTTTTCTCTGGATTTGGATAGCATTTTCCATCATGGGTCTTTTGGAATTGCCTCAGATCATTGTATTGCTGAGAAAAACTAAGTCAGTCATAGTTGATCATCACAAAATGTTACTGTGTACAATGTTCTCCTGGTTCTCCTCACTTTGTTCTTGCTATGTTTTCTTAAAAAGTGACTCAAAGCCTACTGCCTTCTGAAAGGCTTCTCTCTTCTCCAGCCCCCACTTCCACCTTAGTCATGACCTTCCGCTTTAGACTTTTGTTATTTATTGAGTAATACTTGGGTATGACAGATATCTGGGATAATGTCTTCCTACTAGATTGTAAGCCCAGTGAGGGCAGGGGATAGTGTCTTACTGAGAAATGCAAATTGGGAATTCTACTTGATCAATATCATCAGGCTTGATTTTTAGCTGAGGCCTGCTATGAATTAATAAGCTTAGGTAAATTAGCTTGTATTAGTAATTTGTTAGCATTTGACTTCCCCAATCTGGTAAGCCTAAGTGGATTCTTTTGTAAGATTCCCCTTTTCAGTGTGAGTTAAAGTTCCCCTTTTTATATGAGTTAATTCCTCCTTTGGACTCATGGAAAATCACCAACTTTCCACATGATGCTAAACTCCAATACTGGTGTTGTGACTAACCAGCTGAACAACAAGCTTTTGAAGTGCCCAATCAATCAGAGAAAAGAGGTGTTCCATACTAACAGATTGTCCAACTTTCACATTCCTGATTCCCAGAAATAGGTTCTATGTTACTAACCTCTTTCCAGTCACACAGCCCCTATTCTTGTCCTTGTTCAAGATGCTAAGATGCCTTAGCCGACCTTGTGGCAAATGGATACAACTTGTGATTAGCACCCTCTGTCCCAACCATCCAGGCATCAGTAACACCTATGTTACCCAAGTTTTATCATATGCCTCAATTCCTCTTTGTGGACTATAAGAAAGCTCTGTGAAGTCTCCCTGGAGGTCCTTTGTTACCAAAGAGCCTCAGACCCCATTTATTGGCAATTACCAGCCTTGCTAATAAGCAGCTAGGTGGCATCATATGCACAGAGTGCTGCGCCTGGAGTCTAAGGAAGACCTTAGTTCAAAATTGGCCTCAGATGCCTAGCAGCTGTGTGACCCTGGGCAAGTCACCTTACCCTACCTATCTCAGTTTCCTCATCTATAAAATGAGCTGGAAAAGGAAATGGAAAACTATTCCAGTATTTTTGCCAAGAAAACCCCAATGAAGTCACAAAGAGTTGGGCATAACTGAACAACAATCTCGCTAATAAATGGAATGTGCTTGGTTTCTTTTTACTACAGATTTCAATTGCCACAATGTCTGAGCTTAGGACCTGCCACAGTGCATAGCAGAGAGTTCTATAGCCAAGAGGGGCTGTTGATTTATAGAATAGAGTCTGTTGACAGGACCTACTCTAAGAAGATACCTCCATTGTTCTGTATTCTAGAGACAGGAGTTAAGGGTGAAGGGAAGGATTAGAGGCCACTGGCTTTTAGGTCAAATGAGATAATTACATATTAAATTTTTAAAAATAACACAAATATAAAGTTTACAAAAGTCACTACAAGTTAATGGGAAAATGTTGCCAAACAAAATTTCATGCTGTTATTTTATTTTCTCCCTTCATTCCTTCTTCTAGAGATGTATTTACCACCACCAAAACTTCTACGTTCAAGTTGTGCCTACAAAGCTGATGAAGGACCATGTAAAGCCATGCTCAAGAGGTTTTTCTACAATATTTACACTCAACACTGTGAAGAATTTGTATATGGAGGATGTGAAGGCAATGAAAACCGATTTGAAAGTCTGGAAGACTGCCAGAAACAGTGTTTAGCAGGTGAGTTCCTTGAAAAATCTATCATTGGCTAACAGGATCATAGATTTATGGGCAAAAGGGAATGTAGAAATAGTGAGACCAACCTATTCATTTTATAGATAATTCCTGATACTCTAAGAATCTTTATAATAATTCAGGTTAACTTCCAATCATGTACTTTTTCTATAGCTGCCCATGAAAGGGGAAAAGCAAATAGGCATTAATATAACATTTTTATTACTGATACACTAATAATGATGCTCTCAACAAAGGCTCCTTTATTTTGGAATGAATGGGGAAATTTAATTTATTGTGTTAAATATTTTGCCTAAAACATTATGCCAACAAAAGCAGGGGTGTGCTGAACTATCAAACATTCCTGGCACTGTGTAACCTGACTTGAGATCATACATAGTATGGATGACTCCCATGCTACCACAGGCATTTTGCTGGCAGCCAAAAAAGGGGCCCTTACATTTCCATTCTAGGACCTTTAGAAGATATCCTTTAAGACAATCTTAGAAGATGGGAAGCTGGAGAATGAACAGTCCATGAATTAAGAAAAAAATTCTTAGAGATTTGCAGAGGGAGATCTTCTATCCCCTGTGATTGGGAAGATGATTTTATGAGAACCGAATGGACGTGAATATTTCATTTTACATAGATCATATTTTTTTCTCCCTTCCACATAATGGAAATAGGAAATGCCACTAATTAATATTATTCAGCTTAAACTTTATGTCAGATATTGTCAGTGCCTGTTATGGATTTCATGGTTAAACCAGTCACTTTCTACTTCATTCAGATTTCCATACCAAGGTACATTTCTATATCAAAATGAACATTTCTTTAGTCTTCATAACCTTGGCTAGATGCCTATCTCATTCTTTACACATTTCTATTTTAGTGTTTTCATTTAGCAGCCTACTTCTTTTCCATAAATCTGTCTCATTCTGGCATAAAGCACTTTCTCTCCCTAACTTTGCCATTACACAAAAATACATTTGTTTTTCCTTTGGACTTAATACAAATATTGTAATTTAGGTAATCATTGGTGGTACCCACATAACTCTTTGTGAATCACCACAAATAAACCACCATTAAAATTTAAGAATACTTATACCTCCTCATTTAATTCAATTCAACTGAATACCACAAGTGTGTATTAAGCACCTGCTATGTGCTAGGCACTAGGAATCCAAAGATAAAAGAAAATATTTCTGACCCTAATGGAGCTTATGATTCTTTGAAAGAAGCAGCATACAAAGTATATAGAAAAATATACAGTGTAATTTCTGTGGGGAGGGCATAGGGCTAATATGATGGGCAGTTTGATAACAATAGCACACAGACTCTAGAGGGCACAATGGAAGGGCATAGAAGAGTACAATAGGAACAATGGAAGGGTAGGGCTTCATGACTAGATGTGAGGGTACAGGAATTAGTGGTCAGAAAAGGAAGATTTTATTTAGTTAGCCATAGCTCAAAATCACAAGGATTCTCAGTGGAATAATAGAGAAATAGATTATGATGTCTTTACCAAGGAAAGGGTAATATATATTTGATTATTAATCCTTATCAGTGACTGAAGGTAAATGGGGAGAGGCATACAAAGAGTTGGAAGAGCAGGTATCTAGTCCCTGTTCCTACCTGATAGTTAAGGCCAGGGTTGGTAGAATCCTGGGAGCCAAGTTGGTTACAAAAGGGCGAAGCATGCTTGAGGGATTTGCCCCTAGCAAGGTCAGCTCTGACCCAACTTTCTCCAATGTTGAGTAGATCATCTTTCCTAGGTTGGTATGGACATAAAGTGGTTCATTTTATCTAAGATCCTTCAAACATTCTCATCTTGTACAAATGTTTATATCTTCCACATACTAGGGCAATATTACAGGCTAAAACAAACCTCTCAGAAAAAGAAGTATGTGTTATATTGATGGTCAGGGTGTTAAAAAATCTCTAGAGATAAAATAACTCTAGAAAAATCACATGGGAATTAAGCACTTAGGATATAAAATGTGTTTTTTTCCCTTTCCCACTGTGGCCATCCAAACAAGTTATAGTTCTGAAAAAATAAATTTATGTAATATTCACATAATGTAAATTATCATCAAAGCAAGGGATATATTGTTGTTACATCTTCCTATCGCTAGCATCTTTCATAGAATAGATATTTAACAAATGCTTTTGGATTAGATGGGATGGTAATTCTTCTGAAATTACAATTTATATTTACATCTGTTTCTTGCCCTGGCTCATAAGTATCTTTCATCAGGAATACACATTATCCCTATTAACATTACAGTGAACCTTATTACTAAATGAGCACAAAGGGAATATTTTTTCTGCTCACCCTTCCTTTTCCATGACAGAAAGCTTGAAAGGAGTGATACATATGTCAAAACAATGTAAACATTATTCTATACACAATAAATGTGAATATCTAAGATAAATAAGCTTTTGTTTTTTTTAACTATGACTCCCCTCAAAACATTTCATCTTCTTTGTATTGTCTTATCTATGCTGATATTACAATATTTCTTTTAATGATGAATAAATATTGAATTGGATTTTCCAATATTCTATAAATTTCTCACACAAAAGGCATGTCTGCAGTATGCAGTCACCCAGAAAAATGCTGAAAAAGTTGATTAAGTATATAGATATTTGATGCTCAGCTGAAAATTCTGTATGTATTTGGCCATCAAATATAAAATATGTAGCTTCATTTCAGGGTTCTTTTCTCTTTTTCTCTCTATGTACTTTGCTCTTTGCTGATTTAATTCCCCGTCCATCCCTCTCCCTTCCTAATTGTTGAATTATCATCTCTACAAAGATAATGCATGAATCCAAATAGCCTATTCTAATTTATCTTTCAAATTCCTTAGCCTACTGCCTAAAACTCTCCTTAATCTTTCTCTAATCTACCTTTCCAGACAGTTTTTTTATTATTTCTCTTCATACACTTCAGCAAAATTGAACTTTTAATGTTCCTGAACTCAGCTTGCCATCTCCAGAGGGGTTGTGTGCATTCATCCACTCACATAAGCCTAAACTGTATTCTTTCCTCATCTTGATTTCTCAAAATCCTATATTTTTTCCAAGGATCAACTTAGGTGCCACCTCTTTTGTGAGACTTTCACTTATCTCCAGTTCACCCTCAGATATGATCAAATATCATTAAATCACTTTGTTTGATCTTTTTTACCACCTTCAAGCCTTACCCAGTATGATTTTTTTCTCCTGTGTATTTGTCTTCCTCAACCCACTCCCCTTTCTACTATAAGCTACTTGAGGAGCGGAACAATTTTTTTTTCTTAATTCTATTGGTTTGGTTTTTATGTATAGATTATTGCAACTTCATGGTTGGTCTCTTGCAATAAAGTAAAATAAATTAAGCAAAACTAATAATACCCTCAAAGTGAATGCTACATTCCACATCTGTAGCACTCCCATTTCTCTATTTTAACAGAAACCCATGTATATATGTATATATATATATATATGTATATATATGTATGTATATATGTATATATATATATATATAGATATATAAAATACATATTAGATTGTTGTTGTTGTTGTTATTGTTATTGTCTAGTTGTGTCTGACTCTTCAAGACACCATGGACCATAACACACCATTATTGTTCCATAGGTTTTTCTTGGCAACGATACTGGGATGAATGGTTTGCCATTTCCTTCTCTTGGTTTAAGGCAAACAGAGGTTAAATGATCTGTCTGGGGTCACATAGCTAGTAAATGTCTGAGGCTAGCTTTTAACTTAGGTCTTCCTGACTCCAGGCCCAGCACTCTATACACAAAGCCATCTAGTTTCCTCCACATATTACATACATACAACCAAAATACATAATATGTAATCCATCCATTCATATACACATATGTTATACATACGTATATTGCACACACATTTAAACTTATTTCTTTCAATGGTAACACAATTCTTTGGTAGAAGTTAAGAGTTTTATTTTCCTAAAATATATTTGAATCTGTGTGATACCTCCCCACGCAATATTTCGTTTTCCTGTCTAGACAACCTCAGTGTGTTCTCTTCCTGCCCATTATCTGGAGGGGCTTATTTTCCTTCCTCAATTGTTAGAAGGAGCTACTTTTTCCAAATTACATAGTTTTTCAATTTTCTTTAGCTTTGAAGAATAAAAACCAAAGTGAGTAGATTATTATTGCAACTCTTTTACTGCCCTGTTTTCCTTTCTTGGTATAGAGGGAATTTAGAATATTGGAGATGCTTATGAACTATTCAGCAATGGTGTTCTGATTTCACTATCGCTCCCCCACCATGACAGTGCATAAATGACAACAGACCGTTTGCTAGTCAATATAAGTATGAATCATCACTTTTTCTAGGATACACCTTAAACACCAATTCTGTTCCTTTAACTATTTTGGGAGAGGGGGGAGACTGGACTTGTGATTGCTTTGGTGTAAAAACTCTTGGTAAGAAAGTTCTCTTGACCAATGCAGAGCAGCAACCATTATTCTAAGACTACAGTCTTAGATAGTTGACCTGGAAGAGCAGAGAGGTTAAATTATTTAGTCATGGTCACACAGCTACTATGTAACAGAGATAATACATTTGCCCAGGTCTTTCTAACTCCAACCTAGCCTCCTGTTTACTGCCCAGCATTTCTCAAAGTGTGTTCCTTGGGCACCTTTGCTTTACTCTGCCTTTATTAGAGGTTCTCAAGTTTATGCCTATTTAAAAAAAATAATTTCTGGCTCTTCATTTTAGAAAAATAGTTGCCATGTGGAGGAAAGGTCAATTTATTGCTGTGTTTTACTATTAGAGTTTTATAATTTGTTGTTTTTTTTTTAAACAGGAATAAATGTTGTATTTTGTAAAAGTCTTTTTCTGAATATATTGATAAAATCACATGATTGTTCTTGTCATAATTAATATGATCTATTATGTTGGTAGTTTTCCTAATTTCATTCCTGGTATAAATCCAACATGGTCATAGTATATAACCTTTTTGGATATGTTTC